TTCGTTATGGCCTAAATTTACATGCCACATCTCTGGTACTGGTCTTATTACAATAGCTTTGGAGGTGTATTTAACCTATGTAGTCTTTGCATTGAACTTTGAAATCTGAAGTCATTCAATGCCTTCACCTTCAAGTGTTATGGAGGAGGTGGGGGTAATCCTTGTGCCAATATTAGCAACAATTTTGTTTTCTGTATTGTGCATTTATTATGCAAACATTCTTGTTTCTTTGCCAACCTGATCATCAGGGAGCATAAAAACTGCATCGGATGCCACCTGCCACCTTGAGTTTCAGCCAATGTGTCTACCACTTTTACAGAAAGAGAAGTAGATGGGGTGCTAATTTTGGCAAAAGAAACCTTAATTTCTTGTAGTTCTTTGCTATTGAACTTGTAAAATCACTTGACTGTTTACTACTGAGTTTATTCTCTAGGTTCTTTGTAATGTGAATTTATACACCATGGTAGGTACAGAGAAATCTACCAAATACCTTTTCCCTTTCTCTTTTTCCCATGGGGAGCATATTTCATTGCAATTGTATTTTTTGCTCTCATTCAATTCCTTTAGATTGGAGATTACCTCTCTTAGTTCTTAGTTATTTTTTAGTCAAAGGCCAACATTTGCACTTCTAGCTCCAAGTGGACACAGTCCTCTAGCAAGCACCTTTCTATTTGTGCTAACAGAGTTACTGTTGGGACTAATCCTGATACCTAGGCTATCCTGTAGAGAAGTGCTAAAGTGTCTTTGCCATATCTGTGTATATAATGTCCTGTATTAATTGTACTATATATATATATATATATATATATATATATATATATATATATATATATATATATATATCCCAATCCCTATTTTGAACAGCTGAGTAAATACTTTGAACATTCCACTTTTTCCTTTTTTCCCCACATGCCCTTCCTAGTGTTGTTCAGATTGCAAGCAGGACAAGTCTTTGATAAGACTTTATTGTTCATGATCTTCACATCATTATAGAACTGCTACCAGTTAAAAAGCCAAATCTTTAAATATGATTTACTTTTTCATATGAAAGATTTTCTTAACACATTATCAACATTTTGCTGACTAAGATAAATTTATCATGTGTTTAATGCTACTTCCTCAATCAGCATAGCTGAAACTCTTCTGTTAGAATATTGAACATAAAAGTACTGGGGGGGGCAGTTCTGCAATTTCTCTTGGAGATAAATTTTGAAATGAGAAAAAGAGCCAGTTGGTCAAAATAAGTGCTTCAGCCTTGAGGTGTTAAGAGTGTTGGGTGGGTGACTAGTAGAGTCAGATCTGTTGTTTGTATTTCAACTCAAAGGTATTGGCTTGCTCATCCGGCCCTGCCAACTCACTTGGCAACAGCAGCTCTAACAAAGGCTGCCAGTGATAGCTGACACTTTTATGCCTGCACCCAGCACTTTGACACCAGTACATTTGCTTCTCCTCCTCCTCCTCTTTTTGACAGGCTCCGCTGAACCATGAAATGGTGGTGGCTCTCTCTATCTGATTAACAGCAAGCCACTCCTACCAGCTCTGGCTTTTGCATCAATGTTCTTGTTGGACTTAAAACACACTTCCATCTTTGAAACACACACACATATATATATATATATATATATATATATATATATATATATATATATATATATATATATATATATAGAGAGAAAAAAAAAAAGAGAGACATACACACAAATTTTCTATATGAAATATCATTTTGTACATGTTCCTGAAAAAGCTGTGAAATGAAAACATTCTGGGGAGTATATAAAAGTGAATAACAAACATAGCATGAGTTTGTTGTGGAGTGTCTGTCTCTTTCTTGTCTCTGGACAAATATTGACCTCTGGTTGATTTATTTTTAGATAGTGCATTACCAGTCTCATGACTTGTATTTATCAAATGTATTATATCTGCTAAAATGATGGCTTTCTTTTCTTTTTTTTTTTTTTTTTTTTTTTAATAGTGAAAGAAGGAAGGGTAATGGTGACTTTCCTTACCAGACTGGGGCTTGCCTCTCTTTGAAAAGTCACTCCACTCTACCCCAATATAATTTTATTATAATGGGCTTAAATTAAAAACTGCTTTCAGCAGTCTCCACTTAATGTCACAGCACTCCTGTCTGTCTATAGAATTTAATTATTTGCAAACGCTAATTATCACTGAAATGAATTGTTATTGTTAAAGTATAATTACTGGCATGCCACTGGCTGAAAATCCCATGCACATCATCAGAAAGAGCATTGTAATTAGCAGTTAGTAGAATTAGAGTTATTGCCCTTGGGCAGACTTTGATGCATTCACGGTATATTCTGCTTGTTATATAACATAGTACTGTCCAGATGTTCTCTTTTCAGCACTCGAGGTTCATACTCAGTTGGGGGAAATTTAAACATTTCAAGTTTCTCACTGGGGTTACTATATATCTGGCAATCCCTTCTATAAAATGAAAAGGCTTCATTTCTTTTTGAAGATTTTTTACTTTGTTTCCTGAAATTTTTGGTAGCATGTGACATGATGAACACCCTGCCTTCATTTGCTTTACTTTCAATAGGTGTATTTTGTCAAATCCAATAAGTGGCAAACTGTGTTGGTTAATGCTGATTTTAGTAGACTTTATAATGAAAGTCTACTGAGTGTTCTTTATTTGTTAAATGAGATAAATGTATACAAACTATAGGATGATGCAGAAATTTCAAATATTCTAAAATCTTAAATTTCAATTAATGCAGACTATTTAAAAACTTTTTTTTGCTCCTCTTTTCTTTTTCTTTTCCATCAGTTACTTAGTTTAAAAAACTTCTGTTGATTTATCCATTTTTTTTTTAAATTTTTTTTTATCACTTACAGGTTTGTGCTCTACGTCACTTGACTAGCCGTCACCCTGAAGCGGAGATGGCCCAAAATGCTGTCCGCCTCCATTATGGTCTTCCTGTTCTAGTCAAACTGCTTCATCCCCCTAGCCGCTGGCCACTCATCAAAGCTGTAGTGGGACTCATTCGCAATCTTGCCTTGTGTCCTGCTAACCATGCACCACTCAGAGAACATGGAGCGTTACCCAGAATTGCACAACTCATGATACGAGCCCATCAGGACACTCAGAGAGTACGTACATTTTGGTTTGACTGGTTTGTGCTATTAAAAAAAAAAAAAAAAATGTGGGCAAATAATGTTGAGGTTTTTCAATCCATTTGCAAAAACTGTAAGGCTGAATGTTGTAGAGTTGTTGTCGCTTTCCAACTTAAAATCCTGTTACAGTTGCTTCTTTAGTTGATCAGTGTGTATTAATGGTAGCAGAAATATTGCTACTCTGGAGACTCATAGAATGTCAGGGTTCACCCTCCAACCCACTCAATTCAATTAACTGTGTCATCTAACTTTCTTTGCAGATATGAGGTCTGATCAAAAGTTATCTGGTACTATAAAAAGAAAATAAAGCCATATATGTATTCGGCATTTAATATCCTTCAAAGTAGTCAACTTCTGAAGCCACATACTTTATCCAGTATCATTTACATTGATGGAAGCATTCCTGGAACTCCTTTTTTAGTATAGCAAGGAAACTGTCTAATTATTGTCTCTTGCATTCTTAAAATCTTGTTCCTTTCAATTGGAATTTTACTTTTGGAAAGAGATAAAAAGTCACAAGGGGTGAGATTTGGGGGACATAGTGGCTGTTTTACTTGGGGGAATGTTGTTCTTGACTGTAGTCACTGATAGAACCTCTGTGGTTTGGTGAGGCAACCACACTCTACATACTTTGCTTCTAAGCACTGTTATAAACGACAGAAGAGAGCAAGAATGTTATGGCTTAATATGCAGGTCTGTGTCAAGTGGCTTCACTCTGCATACTTTATCTGTGTTACCATCTGTTTTTTGATCAGACCTCGTATATCTCTTCCATCCAGGACTCCTTGTGTCAGTTTTTCAATTTTGGACGTACACTCACACTTCTGTTTTTTGCTTTTCCTCATTTCTTAAGTAAAATTTATGATGCAAGAGACCTTTTTTTTTCTTTTTTTTTCCTAACCCCAAATCAAGATTTGTTATTTCACATTAACATTTGTTTCTTTCAGAGAGCTTCGATTAGTTCAAATGGCCAAAGTTCCAACTATGTTGATGGCGTGAGAATGGAAGAAATAGTTGAGGGTACTGTTGGAGCCCTCCACATTTTGGCTCGAGAAGCCCACAACAGGGCTGTCATTCGCAGTCTCAACTGCATACCTTTATTTGTGCAGGTAAGCAAGTTTGGGGATCCTGTTTACATGGGGATTGTTAAATTGACATTCTAATCTAGATAAACCTTTGGAAATGCAACTTTTCTAGGATTAAACTAGAAATATTTAGTTTTGTCAATTTTAGATGAAGAACTGTCATTGTATGACTTTGCTATTTGGAGCAGCCTGCTTCTCTTTTTGGTTGTTCTGCTCACAAAACCTTTCACAGACTTTGTCCAAAACCTTTTATTCAATTTGTAGCTGAAGGGAAATTCTCATTTCGCTTTCCATGTTTATAGATATTTCACATCTGTTAATACTCACCAATTTTATTCACTTTTGTGTTGCTGTTAGTTTCTTTTAATCCCACTAGGCACTTGTGGCACGTGGATTAGCGGATTAAATCATTGGTTGAAACATATTGGATTCTCTGGTACTTATGAGTTCAATCTTTTGCAGCCGGTAGTCATATACTCTGATTCAGTGGAAGAAACAGTGATACATGAAAGTGAATAATGCAAACAATCTGCCCCATTTATTGAATGAAGTGTTCAGTTTGAAATTTCAGGAAAGTTACCAAGTACAGACACCTCCCCCTGGAGGAAGATGAAGGGGTACGACAAACGAAATGAGAGTACAACAAAGAAAATATGGCCACACTACTCCATATAAGGAGTATTACTAACAGGAGAAATCCTGCTCCCTAAATGATCATTGTGGCAAAGAATGGGACTATAATTGAAAAGAAGCTACATAGACATGGTCGCTTACTATTTA